CCTGGGTGTGGCTTTTGGGAAACTAGTCGCTGACCAAAGTTAAATGTCAGTTGATCTAGACAGGTACAACAGCCTTGAATCACTTCTGATTTGTATACTGAAAGTATTGTTTTTGGTGGGTTAAAAACCCCTACACTGACATGGTTCTACAGTTATTTCCATATGGTGGCAGCCTATGCATTAAAAATGAAAGGAAGGCTTCAGAAAGAAGATCTTTAGTATAACTACACACATACTCATGTGGCAGTAAGTCTCATTGAGTTCAGTGGGGCTTGTTTATGAATAGACATCTTTAGGAGTGTAATTTTTAAAATTGCAACAAAGTGAAAAAACTGATTTACAATAAAGATGGTACAGTTAAGTTTATGTGCTGTGATCAATACATTAAAAAAATCACTTTAACTCTGCATAACACTTCATCAATATTAACTTGAGGTGAACTGCAAGGGCATCATTAGGCCTGTGACACCCTAAGGGGAAGGTGACACCACTGCTCCCCAGACATCTGGCTTTGGGCAGAAATGAATTGAAGTGTTTGCTTGTGTCCCTTTAAAATGCTTAAGAGACACTGTGAGTGGGGCAAGGGTCAGTGGGAAGAAAAAGGAAAGGCCCCAGTTTTTTTTTATAAAAAAATAATTTTAAATTTTAAAAAATTGAAAAAAATTAAATTCTTTTAAAATTTCTTTTTTAAAAATCACATCTTACCTAATTTTCATTTTAATCATATGTACATGTAAATACATTTAGGCTATGTGTACGATAGTGTAATTTGAATGGGAAGGGCAGCCATGAAAGAACTAGAAAAGATCCTAAAATGCAAAGATATACAACTGAGCACAAAAGTTAGAATCAAACAAGTCATTGTATTCCCTATTATCGTCCGTGTATGGATGTGAGAGCAGGATAGTTAAGAAAGAAGATAAGAAGAACATAATTCTTTTGAGATGTGGTGCTGGGGAAGAGTGCTGAGGATCCCATGGACAGCCAAAAGGACAAATAAATGGGTCCTAGAGCAGATCAAACCGGAAACCTCCCTGGAAGCCAAGATGACAAAACTGAGGTTGTCAGATTTTGGGCAGACCATGAGATGGCATGACTCATTAGAAAAGGCAATAATGCTAGGAAGAGTGGAGGGAAGT